TTCATTATTTTAAAAGTTATTCAAATTTTTGTAAAATATTTAAAATAACGAATTTTTAAAAATATCTAAATAAAATATTTGCCCAATGGCTTCTCTCAATTTTGAATGATATTTTATAGTGATTGTTAAATTTGTTGAAACAACTTAATTATATGAATTTCTAACTAAAATTTTATATAAAAATTTTTTAATGAAAAAAAGGTTAAATATTCGCTATTTTTTTTGATAACTAAGCATAACCCCCAAATTGAAACAAAATTTATGTACACTATAAAAATTAAAATTTTCTTGTACTAGGAACGACAGTCATTTAACCAAATTACTTATGAGAAAGAAAATAACACTGATGAGATAATGGAAATTTCATCTGAAAATACAAATTCTTTGTCAGTACTGTACGATCAAACTACGGGTAATGAAGAAAAAATGGATTTATTAGAACAGGAAGACCTTGCTCATACAAAGGTAGAAACGAATTTACAGGATCAAATGCATTGCTTATCGGACGTGGATTCTAATAAGCCAAATTTTACAGAACAAGAAAATTACATAAGTGATTATGAAGGGGTAGGTTGATATTTTAAGTATTTCTTTTATAACTAAAGAGATACATATGTGCGATACTACGACGTCGGATTTTAGTTTACATTTTAATTTCTGGCAAACATTTTTTTCCGTTTTTTAAAAAGAAAAGGTTCACGAATTCTCTTATTTTTTGTAGAAAAATTTTCGAGTTATGAATTTTCGAAATTTTGATATTTTTATAGCAGATATATTTTTAATTACCTTTAACTCGAAAATTATTTATTTTAGAAAAATTTCTGGAAGACAAAAAAAATTTTGTTTTTTCCTCGATTTTAAAATAAAGTTAAGAAAAATATTTTGATTTTTTAATGAAAAAATCCTATTTTTTATAAATAATTCATTTTTTTCCAATTTGGGTTTTTTCCGTTCCTTTTTCTATTTTTCTAATCAAAATTTATTTTGCAAAATTTAAATAATTTTAAATAATTTTGATTTTCTAATAGGGAATTACAGAAATATATTTTTTAAAAATATTTTTTTTATAAAATAATTATTTAAACATGAAATTTTATAAAGCCTACTCCAAAACTGTTTGAAAACTATTTTTACCATTCCCAGAAAATAAAAAATCAATAAAAATATTTTAAAAAAAGGTTTTAAATTGAAAAAAAAGAAATTGTTCTTTTTAAATGTAAATTTTAAAAAATGTCTTTTTATTTTCATTTTTATTGTTTTGGACAAAAATGTGTTTTGTCACTGGAATTCTGCATTAGTCTTATTATAATATAGCGTAAAATAAATAATAAACATATTTTTTTATAAACAAATTATTCAAACAATAAGATTTATCAGACCTAATCTAAAATTATATGCACTCTTTTCTAGAATTAATTTTAAAAAATGATAAACAATTGTCCAATTTAAAAAAAAATGAATTTGTTTATAAAAAATTATGTTGTTTTAAACAGAAATTCAAAAAAAAATTTTTTCATGAAATTTATTTAAAAATTAAGGAAATACCAAACTTTTTTCTCTTAGAAAAGTTTTTCTAAAATCAATAATTTTTATGTTATAGGTAATTGAAAATATGTCTGCTTTAAAAAAATCAAAATTTCGAATATTTTTTTGACAGCATTTAAAATGTGTAATGGAATTTGACGTGGAATCACTTATATATGAGACATTCTACGCCAAATTGACATTTTTAAATTGGCTCAAATTTTTTTACCTTTTTATACTCCATGAAAAAGAGGTCCATGATTTTTTTCAAATTTTTTTATGTAGCCGTTTAAGAGATATGAATTTTTCAAAATTTACCATTTTTAAGAAAAACATTTTTTTGATTGCTCATAACTTCTACAAAAATGGATCAATTTTAATGTTACCTATATGAAAAATTTCAGTTTTTTTATGGAATTTTTAAAAATTTGACGCAAAAAATTATCGAAAAATTATTTACCACTTTTTTTGTAATTTATTTGTTAAAATCTTATTTTCAAAATTGATTGTATCCTTCGATTTTTTTAAAATAATTTTTAAACAAAAATGATTCTTTTTACGCAAATTTTAAGCCTAATCCCGTCGTGGGTAAATGATTTTTACTATTTTTTCAGGATTTTTTTAAATTATCAAAATTGAGTATTTTCTCATGCAAACTTCAGATTATAAAGTACTACACATTCTTATGTATTTTTATGCGCTGATTATAAAAATCATAGTCACAATGACGGAACACTTGATTTTTATGGTGAAAACCATGAAAAATACCATAATTTAATGGTTTTTTGCTTTCATCTCATAATATAAGCAAAATTTTAAAAAATGCTTTAAACAAAAGTTGCACATCTCATAAAAATACATTTTTTATGTATTACACTATTTTTGTTAAAACTTATTCGTTTTCTCAAAAAATGCCAAAAATGTTTAAACCACCATTAAAATGACAAATTTCTACATTATTATTAGTTTTTTGGCAAAAAGCATAATACATAAAAAATGTATTTTTATGAGATCTACAACTTTTGTCTGAAGCATGTAAAATGAAAAAAAAAATTCCAAGATACCGGAAAAGTAGTAAAAAAAATGAACAGTTAATTTTTCCTTAACATATAATTGAAAAATTAAAATATTCTTTACCATTATATTTTATTATTTTCAAAATTTCGTCTTATTTTAGTAAATGAAGAGAAAGAAATATTTGTTTTTACAATTTTCAAGTCGTAAGTTTATTTAAAATCATAAAAATAAAGGAATTAATATTACTCTATATAATAAATCCATTTAAAAAAACATTTATAAATTCAAATTTAAAAGAAATCAATTAAATGAATTTTTTGTAGAATTTTGGATTATAAATAAAGTTTTAATAATAATAAGAAATTGTGATTATTATCAGCTTTAATTTCAGTCGCATATTTAAGTTACTGTTTTTGACCTTGTAATAGTTTGATAGATTCAAATAAAATTTATAAATAAAGACGTTTAATATTGGTGACGATATAAATAGATAAATGACTTAATAATCGCAACTGTCACATATCAATTAATTTCTTTCTAACTATAAAAATTTATTAAATTTTTATTAAATTTATATTAAATCCTCTTAAATGAAATTACAGTCTTATAGAATCTGATTATGAAATAGTTTTTCTTGATGTTTCGGAAATTGCGGTATTTTTTAGAGGTTATGTTATTATAATATATCTTTCACATATTTTAACAAATCACTTTTTAAATAATATAAAGAGAGATGTCTCTTGTTGTTAATTTAATTTGTTTGAATTTACAAAATGAAATTTCGTATTGTTTACATATACGCAGCGTATATATAGATATATTTAACTTACCGCATGGGCCTCATGGCTTTCTTGTCTCTCATCATCAGACATTGTCATAAATAGATTAATATTTTCACATATACACACAAACAATTTAATATTGTTACAAAAATGTGATTAATAATTGATATTTGTTAGGTCAAAATTGTCCTTTTATGAACGTTGACGCATTCATACATCTAAACGGAGCACCAGCACTATACCGGCCATTTTCGGCATTCAATCTTAAAGTTTTTTGGCAATATTTTCTTACGAAAAAATATAAATTAGAAATCATCTAGGTTAGGTTTAAATGTTTTTAAAATTAAAAATTCTAAAATAATAATATTTTTAACTTCAATACAGTGGCAGAACAATTTGTAAAGATCATAATATCTTAAATTAGCAAAATGTATCAATTTTAATGTTACCTACAGTGGATGTCCCAGTTGCCGTCCACCTAAGACCTAGTTTCGGTCCAGTTTAATATTCAAAATAACATTTACAAAAAAATTATTTTCTTTTATTTGTTTACTTAAACTAATAAGTCGATTGCGTGCCAAAAGGAATAAATTATTGTTAAAAAAATAATTTAAATTAGGGTCAGCCGGGGTAAATCCGAACGGGGGGTAAATCCGAACGCTAATTATTTCAGCTTAATTAAAATTTTTAAAAATAAGTTCGATATGAGAATTTTTACCTCAGATCCTCTTCAAGAGATTCTAAGTATTATCCCATTTTTCGTTTGTTAATTAGCAACAGCATAAACAAAGATAACGAGTATTGCAAAAAAGATTGAAAATCAAAGATGACACTCTTTCAGTATTTTGTCTCGTATTTGAAGAAAAAGAAGCTAAAAATTCATTTTATTATTTATAATTGTTTGTTATGAATACTAGAACAGAAACTATTTTTCATTTTTGCCTTCTGTAAAATTTTATTAATAACCCTATCGAAAATTCCGATATCGAAACCTATATAGGAAACTATATGGGAAACTATATAGTTTCCCATATAGTTTCCTATATAGGAAGCTATATATGAAGCTATATAGTTAACTATATAGAAAGCTATGTTGGAAAATGGGACAGGCAACGATATAGTTTACGATATAGTTTACTATGTAGGAAACTATGTCAATTCCGATTTTCTTTTTTTTTAATTAAAAAAAATATTATTTAATATTTTTTCACGCAAAATTTTCAAAAGTTTCTAAAAACACCTGAAAATCGTAATTCTTTTAAGATTTCTACATTTTTCTAGTTTACAAAATTTCTAAATAATTTATATAATCTAAAAATTAAATTTTAAATTCTACATGGATTTTCTAAAATTGGACTTGAAAACCCTACAAAATACCTGCAATTTTAAATCTAAACTATTAATTTAAAAGAGAATTAGATTATTATTTTTGTTTTGTTGGTCATGTATTTGTACAAATTTTGATTTTAGAAAAGTGTTCAACATAAAAAATGTCTTCAAAATTAAATCTTTAAATACATAATTAAATGTAAAAAAAGTAAATAAAAAATTAAGAGGGTAATACTGGTTATCATTTTCAAGAAATCGTTTTTTATTAATTTTATTTTTTAACATGATATTTCAAAAAGATTTTTAAATTGTTTTACATAATTTTTTCAATTCTATAAGATCGCTTATTTTACTTGAGTTTTTAATATTTTAAAATAACTATTAATAAAAATAAAGGTCAATAAACGTGATTTTAGATAAAAAATATGTTACAGAAAGCTTAAAAAGTTTTTTAAAAGTTATTGAAAAAGGCTCATTTTTGTAAGTAAAAATCACGTTTGTCCACTGAAATTAACATTAATAGTGGTACAAGTTCGGAACAACACATAAATACTCACAATCGTTATCAAGTTTTATGTGCACACAAACTTTTGAAATTTCTTCCGTTGCAAAGACCGAGTTTTCACTGTCAATTTTTACAATCTTTTGTAACATTTTACAATTTTCGTCAATAAAATTTACTGTGATAATTTTTTTTACTACAACGTATTCATTGCTTGTAATATGATCAACTATAAAGTTGATTAGTTTTACATAAATACCACTATGCAATATTGCAAAAGTGTTATCAGATCTTTCGTTACTTTTTTCTGCAGACATATATAAACAACTATTTTTTACAATTTTCTTATAAGAAACTGCATTTTCGGAAATACATAAACTGTTTATCCATTGTTCTTTTACAGAACATGCTGACCCAAAATATCGTATGTCATTCATTTGTAAAGACTTTTTGACATGTACAGTACCAATGTGATTATAATAATCTTTGACTTTAAAGGAACAGTTCGGATATAAATTTTCTTTGAGGAACAACATGCAATATTTTAAACTGATTTGTCTACAAATTTGGTGATGAATTCCTTTAGCAGCATGTATGACTTTTAATAATTCCCCATTACCCGATTCAAAGGCAAATGCATTATGTGCCCAAAGTGGGCCCCAATCGTAAACGCTTTGAGCTAAATGGAGAAGAATATGAATATTAAAAGTCATACATGCCTTACAGTATAATGTTTGTGTTTGTCCTACAAATTCATGTAATAGCGAATCGGCTCTGTCTATTTCGCGAGTGGCAATTTCATCCTTCATTAAATTATAAATGGCGTCAACAAATAGAGTCCAGTGCCTAAAAAGATCATCAGGCAATATGTTCTGTAAAATTGGACAACTGTAAAATAGGACCCAATTTTCCCACTCTCTGGCTTTCCAAAAAGCTCTTTCGGAGAAAGGACGTGTAAGTCTGCAGACTTGATGTGGAACTTTAATGGTTTTCATGGCTTTATCAATTGTTTCAATCTCACTTTTGGGAATTATGCCGCTTTTCGCGTTATTGCCGAACCACACTGTAGCAAACAGTTTTGCAACTCCGGGAATGCAGTGCATACTATCAAATACACATCCTTTGATAAAGTTAAAAAACTGTAAATTAATTAATTGTGACGAGTTTTTCACTCCACAAACAGGCTTTCCTAATTTAACTGCCTTTTTCATGTGCGCAATAGTTTTTTCGTTGTCTCTTTTTACAGGTATTTTCTTTCGCAAAACATATTTAATACATCCAGAACGTTTTTTCTTTTCATTTTTACTTTCATTTGGAACCCATTCTCCAGGATGAAGACACTGTGGACATCCATAAGATCCATTAAATTGCACAAATCCCATCAATGGAGCGCGAGCTACTGAATCAACACATGCAAGTTGTGTAAAAATTTTAATACTAACTTCTTCTCCTTCTAAATTGCATTTAACACCTGCTGTTGACAAACTGTTCATTTTTTCAACAAATGGTTTAAGAAAGACATTCATATCAGGTTTGTCTTTCCCAAACCAAAGGCCAACTAGGATTAAATTTTTTGTTCTTACGTCAAACGGAAGCTCATTCACCATTAAATAAATAGGCCAAATCGAATATGCTGAACTAGTAAATAAGGGTGCTCCGTCTGTATTAAAAGTTGTAGTAGCATATTTGCATCTGTCATCTTCACTTAAATTTTTAACAAAATCGCGATATAATTTGCCATCATAAATGTCACGAATAAATCCTTTTTCATAAACTCTATCATTAACTACATACTTATAATAAGAGCTGTTACTTTCAATTAGTTTAGAAATATGTGAAAAAGGATCCATTGTGACGAAAAAGTCTTTATACTTATAATCTTTAGTATTAATTTGTGTTTTACATACTGAACACTGCACAAACTTCATTTTTCGATTATATTTACCAATATACGCGGTACAGTTTGTACATGTTGCATGAAGTTCCGTACGATTTTTTTCATAAAATAATTTATCGATTAAATATTTTGTATTTGGCAAAATATCGAAGGAAAAGATACAATTTATTAATTTGAATAAGTCGGTTATTTCTATTAACGATAAGGCATGCGTAATCGCGTACTTTAAAATCATCAATATTATTTCTCCTGGGGTTACATCTACTGGTGTTTGTATAGGATTCTTCACAGTATTATTTTTGACTATATCCTCTATTGATGAGAAGCAATTTTTATATAATTGATCGTCATTTTCAGAATCTTCTCTAATTGAAGTGTCATCAGATGACATGAAAAAATCGTCTTCCATATCACTCTGGAAAATTAAAGAGCCGTTTTTTGTATTATTATTATTTCTTGTATAACCATAAAATATATAATTTTTTCTTGAAAAATGGATAGTCAAAAATTAATTTTATCACAAAAATCAAAATTGTAACAAGTTTTCTATATTTTCCTGTACTTATGTTTAAAAAATGTTTCAAATTTTTTTTATTTTATTTGGTACAATTTTGACAGCTTGCATTGTTTCAGAAAAAAATTACTCATTAATAAATTAATTTTGATTCTATATTGATAAGTCTAAAAACATAGGAAAAGTTAGATATTTTTGAAGTCATTCAAATTTTTGTAAAAGATAGAAAATGACAAATGGAATTTGAGAAAAATCTGGCAGAAGCAAAAAATTATTGTAAAAGCCTAAAATTTAATTTAGTTTACGTTAAAAACATCCAAATAATACTATATTCTACGATTGTATAAATGGTCGAATATGTTCAAGTTTTTGCTTGAGCAAATTTAATAGTATATTATGTGGCAAGCACGTAAAGTAGTACTTTTTAGGTGAGGATGTAATTTTCAGTACGAGCTGTCGTTAGTGCGACGTAGGTGAGACGAAGGCGAGCTGTAGGTGAGATGAAGACGAGCCGAAGGCGAGTCGAGTCGAGCCGAAAGCGAGCCGAGTCGAACCGAAGTCGCACAGACAGCGAGTATTGAAATCATCCGAACCTAAAAATTACTACGTGCGAGCCACATACGCTATTTTTTTCGCCATTGTTATGAAAAAGTGAAACAATTTTAAAGAAAAAAAATAATAAAAATTGATAAATAAAATAAAAGCAAAAAAAAAAATTATGCAAAAATTAACAACTGCCTAAAAAAGACTTTATAGGGCAGTTTACTGCCTAAAAAAGACTTTATACGGCAGTTTGCTGCCTAAAAAAGTCTTTTTTAGGCAGTTGGCCCAAACTGCCTTAAAAAGTGCTACTTTATCTGCCCAAAACAGGCACAAAAAAGACACTTTTTCATGTCAATGGCGAAAAAAAAATATTATCATTTGTGTAGATGTAAACAAGGGGTAAATATAAACAGTAGATGTTTCAACAAAATTAACAAATTGAAAAATAAGTACGACGACAATATTTTAACCTCAAGTCACTTAAAAGAGGTTCTAAGCATTGACAATTTTTTATTTTGACAATTGACAATTCAATACTCCAATTTATCGATTAATGCATAAAAAATTTTAAATCAAAATTTTAATCTTTCAGTATTTTGTAGTCTCGCATTTGCATAAAAATAAACTCAAAATTCAAACCAAAGTTTATAATTATTCCTTTTTAATACTATAATATAAAGTGACTTTGATTTTTGATATTTTCCAATTTCGATAATAAATAATTAACTGTTCACATTTACCCCGAGAATTTAAAAACTTGGAGTAAATGTAAACAGAACTTCAACTACAGTTTAAAAAATATAATTGAACAAATTTGCTTCTATTTGATAACTAAACTATTTTCCCAGTGTTAAAAAAAAATTAAAGAAAGTTTGTTTAACCCTTTTTGTTACAGTATGATTAATATTAATACAATATATCGTTTTTCAATATGACTGGAAATATTCAAAATGCGTCAGATTTGCATAAAAATCTTTGGGATTTTTGAGGCCACTGATTACGAATATGATGTCAACGTTGCAAAACTTAAAATTTCGGATCAAATGTGGCGGACAAAAACATTAAAAATCATGATTTTTTATTTTTTTGTCCACCATATTGGATCCAAAACTTTGGATTTTAAAAAACCGATTTCGAATTCTTATTCAGCAACTCCAAAAACATCTTTTACCAAGTTCAATGAAAACCCAGTAAAATTTGTTGAAGTCATTCAAGATTTTACATTATACTAATTTTGGCATGGTTGACTTTTGATTTTATATGATGCATATCAATCAACTGGTTGAAATATTATACAACTACCACGAATGTTTTATCAATTTTTCTATCCCTAAATACAGTAGTACACTTGAGATCAATTTTTTAACCTCCTTTAACTATAGAGTGGTGATTACATTTACCCCAAATTTTAGGAAATTTTTAAAATCTCGAGGTAAATGTAAGCAGTCAGTTTTATGCGATTTAAGTTCATCAATATTTTTTTGTATCCCATAAAATTTTTCTAGGGAAGTGAAGTTACAAGTTCATGCAAAAGAAAACCATCAGTTTTACCTTTTAACCAAAAAAAATTAAGCTTTGGTGAAAAATAAATAAAATATCCCTTTATATATACCCCAATTAATCCTATTAAAATTTTATTGTATTTCTAGATTTTCTAGAATTTTTTTAAGAAATCCTGGACTTTTCCAGGTTTTCTAGGTTTTCTAAGACCTGTAGCAGGCTTGTAAATTTCATTGTAAAAAATGCAAATTATTTTTAAAATTTCAACTAAAATTTTATCTGTAAGCAATGGCGCTAAAAAGTACTAGTCCGAGATCTCACTGCAAGTTTTATACTCGCATATGTTTTAAGAATAAATTTTTTTAATTTGAAAGATTGTTTTTCTGTTTTCAAAACCCTGAGGGTGCCTTACTTTTTCTGTTCTATTTTATTGATAATAAAAATATTAAATTTATTAAATTTTCTTTTTGACAAGTTTTGAGAATAAAACTCTTTTTATTTGTCATAACCTAAAAAAAGGAAGAAGAAGAAAATAATAGGTTGACTAACGAAATATGGTCCAGTAAATATATTGCAAGATTTTTAATTAATTTAATATCAAATATTATTTTTAACTCAAAATCGTTTATAGATCGTTGCTATAAAAAGAAATAAACAAAGTGTTATTTAGTTACGGAGTTTTCTGTTTTTCAAATTAATTTTGCAATTTTAATATGTGCCCCAACAGCAACCGGATATTCAGGATATCATACGGACGTCCTATGGATATCCGAAAGTCAAGATATCCGAAGATATCCTGAGGACATCCCCTACTGGAAAAACTTACATGGGTCCCTATATAAAATCCTACCAGGATTCCATATAAATTCTTATAGGATTTTTTATAGGAACCTATGTAGGTTCCCATGAAGAAAAATCCCATAGGAGTAATCCTATAGGATTCCTTATGGATTCCTATAGGTCTCCTATAGAAACGATTTAGTTTGGAATATAAGATCCTACATAGGATCTCATGTGCATTCCTATAAGGATAAACTATAGGAATTCATATGATATCCTACGTAGGATCCTATAAAGTTTTGAAAAAATTTTGTTTATACTCCTACATAGGTTCCTTTATAGGAAATTATATGAGATCCTACGTAGGATCCCATAAAATTTTTTTAAAATTTTGGTTATACTCCTACTTAGGTTCCTTTATAGAAATTCATATATGATCCTACGTAGGATCCTATAAAGATTTCAGAAAATATTTTGTTTGCACTCCTACATAGGTTCCTTAATAAGAATTCATATATGATCCTACGTAGGATCCTATAAAATTTTTATAAAAAAAACTATTTTTTTCCATTCCTTACTGAAGAAAAATGAATACGTATTTTTTTGTTTTTGTATAAGTGGACAAATTTTTGAGTTATGAATATTCAAAATTTTGGTTTTTTAGAAGTAGACCTATTTTCAATGGCTTGTAACTCTGAAATTATCGAGTTTAGACAAAATTTGCCAAAAGAGGAAAAGTTTCAGTTTTTTCTCGACTTTTTAATAGTGTTTACGAAAAAAATATTTCGGTAATTTCTACTTAAAGAATACCAATTTTTTTTCAATTTGGACTAAATTTTTTTCAAATTTTTTTTTTCATTACTTACTTAGAAATGGTAAAAATAGTTTCCAAAAAGTTTGGAAGTGGACCTGATGCAAATAATATGTTTAAATAACTTGTTTAAAAAAAATTTTTTTTCTTAATCTCTTTTTTTTATTTTTTAAATGAAAATTTATTTTCGTTTGCTTTTTTATGAGTAAAGTGAACGATCCTAGAGACAAAAAAAATATTTTGGCAATTTTTTATTAAAAAATAATAATTTTTTTATAAACAAATTAACCTTTTTTTAATTTTTGCCACTTTTTAAGAATTTTTTTTTATTACATACTTCAAAACAGTAAAAAAAATAGTTAGCGAAAAGTTTTAGAGTGGGTCTGATAAAAATATTTGTTTAAATAATTTCATTAAAAAAAATTTTTTTTATTGATTTTTTTTGTTTTTCGAATTAAAATTTATTCTAATTTGCTTTTATATGTGTAAAATGAAAGATCCTAGCGACCGAAAAAACTTTTTTATTCGAAAAATAAAAAAAAAAAGATTTAAAAAACAAAATTTTTTTTATTACAAGTTATTTAAACATATTATTTGAATCAGGCCCACTCCAAAATTTTTTGGAAACTATTTTTACCATTTCTAAGTAAGTAATGAAAAAAAAAAATTTGAAAAAATTTAGTCCAATTTGAAAAAAATTAATTTGTTTATAAAAAATTGTTATTTTTTAAATAAAAATTACCGAACTATTTTTTTCGTAGACACTACTAAAAAGTCGAGAAAAAACTGAAACTTTTCCTCTCTTGGCAAATTTTGTCTAAACTGGATAATTTCAGAATTACAAGCCACTGAAAATAGGTCTACTTTTAAAAAGCCAAAAATTTGAATATTCATAACTCAAAAATTTGTCCACTTATAAAAAAAATAAAAAAATACGTATTCATTTTTTTTCAGTAAGGAATGGAAAAAAAATAGTTTCGACCGAATTAAAAATGTGAACTGAAATCTGACGTGGAATCGCCCATATGTAGGGGTGACTGGGGAGATATGATACACGGGAGATATGATACAAATGGATTATTTCTTATACGTTTAAATTTAGAGATGGGGTCCCAAAGGGAAAAATGTTTAGTTTTTATGTGCGGACATGCTACAATATCGTTAAAAATTCTATGCGAGCTTTACTGGTGAAAAAATGCGTACATTAGATTTTTGAGGTCAAAACTAAATATTTTCTCATTAGTGTTTTGTGAATAATTTATAAACCTTTATAGTTTACAAATTGCACTTTTGGAGATCAATTCTATTAGGATTTAGCTTTAAAAATATGCTTTGGTTATTTATTTATAGTGTGTAGTTTTTTAATAAAGTTCTAAATTGTAAAAAACTGTACCTAAGGGGAGATTTGATACAAGTGATGATGAAAACGCATGTATTTTGGCTAAAATTCATCAGACATCTTTTTTTTAGATTTTTATTTTAATCTAATTTTTGCATCATAGAAAAACAAAATTTGTATTTTATTTGTCTCAATTATGAAGAATTGCTAGAATTTTTTAATATAGATTATTAGGTACGTATATACCTAATAATTAAGGGCTTGAATTTTAATAACATCATGTTTTACTGAAAATTACGAATAATTAATAAAAATAGTTATAAAAAATTATTTGCCTTTAATTTACAAATGTTATAGATGGTTCTTGGTGATGTATCAGTTCACTCGGGCATAAGAAGACTTGATACAATTTACACGCTACACTCAAATGCTTCTAGTTAATTAAATATTATATATAGCGGTAAAAGAATTATGCCTTTTCAAAACCAGATAATATAGCTATGATTTTACCACATTCCCAAAAAACTAAATGTTAAACTCTGGTCTCTGTAATCGATTTTCTCAAAATTGTATCAAATCGCCCCAGTCTCCCCTAGTAGTGCAAACAAAATTTTTTCTGAAATCTTTATAGGATCCTGCGTAGGATCATATATGAATTCCTATAAAGAAACCTATGTAGGAGTAAAAACAAAACTTTTTTCCAAAACTTTATAGGATCCTACGTAGAATCATATATGAATTCCTATAAAGGAACATATGTAGGAGTGCAAATAAAACTTTTTTCCAAAAGTTTATAGGATCCTACGTAGGATCATATATGAATTCCTATTAAGGAACCTATGTAGGAGTGTAAACAAAATTTTTTCCGAAACTTTATAGGATCCTACGTAGGATCATATGTGAATTCATATTAAGGAACCTATGTAGGAGTGTAACCAAAATTTTTTAACGTAGGATCTCATATAAATTCCTATAAAGGAACCCATGTAAGTTTTTCCAGTAGGGAATCCTAGAGATATCCTAATTTCCGGATATGAATAGGACGTCCGTAGGATATCCAGGAATATCCGGTTGCTATGAGGGTGGTAACCAATTTTCAAGACCATATTTTGTTAGGCAACCTATTATTTTCTCCTACCTTTTTCATGTTGCTAATTAAAAGAAGTTTCATCTTTAAATTATATCAGGGAATAAATTCAACAAATTTTACCAATAAGTTCATAAAACTTATGAGAGTATAAATCTTGCAGAGGGATTTTCTACTAATACTAGTTTTTTATCTGAAAAAATCCATGTACACCTTTAAAGTCAAAATACCAAACTTTGTAGGCTTAAGGGGTAACACCACTCTAGCGGTAAGAAAAATAGCCTAACTTTGACGATTTATATTTGCCGTAGGATAAAAGGAATAGGATTTTTCTTCAGATAGGTTTATTTAAGGTAGTATTACACTTTTCAAGCAGTAAAAAACAGGTTTAGAAAAAAAATTTTTTCTCGCTTCTTAATTTATTTAAAGGAACAAATTTTTTTTATAACATTGTATGGCATTAAAACTTTTATAATAAATAAAATAAAATTTTTTTATTATCTCTCTTTGGTCACTAGAGGGCCTTAAAGTCAAGGCAAAAAAAAAATTTGGGCAATCGGCGGACAGGCTACAGCCTCTCAGGGACATAGGATCTGAAAAAACAAAAAACCGTTTTGAAGCTGAGACATGTCATTAAGCATCCCCCCTAACCCCGATAAAAAATATTGAAAATTAACGAAATGGCAGCGATTTAAAAAAAATGTCAAAAATTAAGTCTTTTTTGGTTAGTTTTTGGATTGTAGCTAAAATCCAAAAAGAAATAGATAATTGGATTTAGGGGGGATGCTTAAAGAATTTAATTACGAAAAAAAATGATATTTTTTTCAAAAAAATTGGTTCATTAGAACTCGAGTTATGCTGTCCGCCAGTTTCAAAAACAACGTTTCGAGAAAAACTCGATTAAGGCCCTCTAGTGACCAAAGAGAATAATAAAAAAATTTTATTTTATTTATTATAAAAGTTTTAATGCCATATAATGTTATAAAAAAAATTTTGTTCCTTTAAATAAATTAAGAAGCGAGAAAAAAAATTTTTTCTAAACCCTGTTTTTTACTGCTTGAAAAGTGTAATACTACCTTAACACATATTCAAGTATAAAAAATAAATTTAATATTATTATTTTAATATAAAATGGCGGCGATAGAGTCCGGCTCAAAAATCTTGAATTTTTAAAACACCTACACGGGAGGACGATTTTCTAGGAAGGTGTAAGACCTAGAACAAAAATCCAAGAATTTTCTGAATCTCTACCCTATTGACTATGGAACTACGTAGGGGTTTTTTTTTTAATCAAAATTTGTACAAATGGTAGCACTTTGAAAAAAAATCGATTTTTTGCCAAAAAACAAGCAGTAAATTGTTTATAAAAAAAAGTTTACATTAAATCAAAAAACGGCTACGTAGTTCCATAAAGAAGGTTATTGTGTAGTTACTGTTAAAATTTCAGATCAATCCATGCAACGGTGTTCGAGTAATCCGTCCTCCCAGTTCGAAAAAAGTGGTTTCGAGAAAAACGCGTTTAAAGTAGAACTAACACACAATGGGCCAGCAGACCTTTACAATGTTCTAAAATTCATAATTTCCGGAGTACAACAAATTTAAAGTTTTCATGACGAATTCTATAGTTTTTGGGGTCACTGATTACAAATCTGTAGTCAGATTTTGAAATTTTTTTTTTTTTTTTGAAAATATGGATTTTTTCAAAGGCGTTGTTCAGTGCCTATATGATACATTAGTGACACTCAAAGGGTTAAAAAAAATTTTTTCGCCATAGGATCACCCGCCTATTGTTTCTACAATCCTAAAGTACATTTTAACAAAAAAAAAAAAAAATTTTTTTTTGAAAATTCTAGAGTGGTGTTACCCCTTAATCTGATTCATCACTGACGCTGTCACCCTAATAGTGATATTTCAGTGAATGTAAATTTAAACAAAATTAAATTAAGTCTCAATAACAATCACAGAAATCAAAATAATTTAAATCTTACGATTTACATAATTAATATAGCTAACCTCCGTAAATGGTACGTTGTTCTCTTCCTCATCATGAATTTCATCAAACAAAGATTCCACTACTTTCTTAATTTCATTATCTTTTTTGGCACTCGTGTTCTCGAGATTACCATCATCTGAGTTGTTCACCTACAATAAAATAATAAAAATAGGAAAAACCATTTAAAGTCAAATGGATGTGCGTAAATTAAAAAAAAATCAGTTATAAACATTTAAATCTTGAATAATGAAAATAATTATTATTTTTTTAAATTAAAAAATTTTAAATCTTACTTCAAACTGATCTTCTTCTGAATGTAATGAAGTATCGTTAGCTTCTGAATTTTCCAAGTTGGAACCAATGTCTTTCATGTAATCGTCAACTAAATCGCATTGTTCAACTGTAGGCATGTCATCTTTTTCGCTTGATGATTCATCAGTATGATGACTATGAGAAACTGAAGATTCATTGACCTAATAGAAAGATAAAGTAATAATTTTCATTTTTAAATAAAATAATTATAACTTTATTCATAGATATATAAATTAATGACCATGATTAAGATACCTCTTTTTCAGCTTCCTTTATATCTCGGTACCATGTAGAAGAAGGAATTCTTTTGCTTGACCCAGGTTGCAAATATCTTTTATACTTCTTCGGTCGACGATTATTATCCATAATAATTTTTAATCTTAAAATAAAATAGTTTAGTTTAATAAAAATAATAATAAATTTTTAATCAAGGATTGCTACAAAAATTTGTTAATATTTTATTAAGATATTTTTAAATAAATATCATTTCCAATTTTTCTTAAAAGTTTGAATAACGTTTAAACTTTTTTTCTTAAAAAAAGCGTCAAAGTTATACCGGAAAATTATGAAAAGTGAAATCTTCAATTTATTCAGATATATTTATCTGAATTGTTACAACTCTCTTGACAGAATAATCAAAAAGTATGTTAAGGTTTGTCTTATAAGACAAAAAATAAATAAAAAATGATTTTAAAAACTGTTTCTCTATTATAAAATTTATCACCCCTATAAAATTCTAAATAAATAAATAAATAAAATAAGTATTTAATTATTATTTCACAAATTTTCCAGTTTTTATTTGATAAAAAAAACATTTATTATTGAAATTCCGGGCTTTTTTAAAAAATATATAACTTTTACACTTTTTTTAGGTTCTGTATTAACATCCCTATAATCATAAAAAATTTCAATCTAAATGATTTAATTTTAAATGGAAAGTATTCCTAATCTTCAATTTTAATCCAAAGAACTTACAACATCTTAAGGATTTCTTGATATTATCAAAAAAGTGTGACCATGTTTTGTCTAAAAAACACGTAAATATAACACTGTATCTAAGATGAAAAAAAACATAAACTTAAAAATTTTAGAACTCAATTTACATTAAAATTAAAAAATTATTTGAATTTAATGGGATTTTCTGGTTTAGAATTGACAAAAAAGGTCTTAGAAAATTCCACTTGAAATGATTTTTTGATTTTAATCTATACTAAATCGGAAGGATTTTCAATTTAACCTTAAACTTAATTTTTTACAAATTTAAAAAAAATGTAAATATTTTCATAAATTAAATTAGTTCATGAATATTCAAATTCAAATATATTCAAGTAAATTTTGCCTCCAGTTTTAACATTCGAATTTAAATCGTTTTCCTTACTCATTCACATAAGGGAGAAATTTTATCATAAAATAAATATTTTAATATTTTATCTATTTTTATTAGCTATATAAAATAAATTTTATCAATTCCTTAATAAAAATAATTTTTGTCAACAAATTATTTAGAATTAAAAAATAAACTTTAGAGATCAATTGAATTTTAATGAATTTGTAATTAAAAAATGATTGATATAATTATATTTTTGAACAACTTGATGAAAATTATTGATGATTTTTGATGTGTAAATGGTTTTGTTTTTAAAGTGAGACCGAAAAAACATTTTCAGTAATAGTAGGAAGGATTTAATATAAATTGAATTTTAAATTTTTGACAAAATCATGTTTATACTTTCTTTTGCAAGAAATTTATTATCATAAAAATAAAAAAAATTTATTGACTAATTTTTGAGGATCCGTAATTTCTTAGAAAATGTGTTTTTTTTAATCTCAAAAAATTAACTGATCAAAAAAAATATAAAAAATTCTTCGATTTAAAATTTCATTTTTTTTCTTAGAATAGGTTATTTTTAAAATCATTATTGAAATTTTAAATAGACAACTTTTTAAAATGTTTTAGAAAATAATAAAAATTATTATTTATTATTTACTTCTTTAATTTTTAATGTTTCATATAAAAAAGCCATTTTTACAAAAAAAGTATGAATTATTATAAAGAAAAATATATGCACCAAAATTAGAAAAATTAAAAATTTTGATTAGTTAATTTTTTTATGATTAAAAAAACACATTTCATAAAAAATTATAGTTGGGTTTTGAAATATTTCGTTATTATCAATTTTCGATTTTCGAAAAATGTTGAAAAAAATTTTTTATTTAATTTTTATTGTGATTATTGAATTCCTCGCAAGCAAGTAATATAAAAATGATTTTGTTAAAAAATTTAAGTCAATTCCTTTATATAACAGAAAATGTCTCGTTCTTCCCTTCATAACTTTCGAAAAATTCTAATTTAAATACTCTATAGATAAATTTTTTAAAATACTAAGGAATAAATGAATTTTTTACTTTTTAAGATATTTCTCTCACCTCTATACTTATATTTAGTATAAATATTCTTCAAAATTATTTAGAAAATGTTTCTTTATGAAAGCCTTTTATCTGTTAAAAATTTTCGAACTTTTTACTGTCCCTAAATTGAGATATTTTTGTTCAAATTTCGAATTTTATATGTAATTTTGTTAAAAACGAAAAATTCAAATCCAAATATCTTAAATTTAGAAAAGTAACTTGTTCTAAGATTTTTACCAGACAAAAGGCTTGCATAAAGTGAACATGTTCTCAAAATTTGAGGAATACTTTTACTCTATTCACTTTTTCAAGCATAAAGGTAAGAGAAAGAATAATTTAAGTTTATTTAATCTGAATTTTTTATAGTGTAATCTTAATCTAACTTTTTAAAGATACAAATAATTACTACCCAAAAATGTAATTGTACTTATTTTTAAATTTTTTCAAATTAATATTTTCACATTATCATCACATGAAATATGTCTATATAGACATAACTAAACAAAATTTCTAAAATTATACATGCATAGCTGATTGATCTTTAAAATTTCTTTTTTTTTTTTAATTAACATAATTATTAATGGCGAATTTTAATATTACCATACAGTTTTAATAACAATTTTTAAACATTGTATGTCACTTATATGCTTTCAAAATTATTGCTATAAAAACTAAAATAAAATACTTTACACATAATAAAAATTGAGCGATTTATACAATTATTTGTCCATTTCCATTTTCTATTGCCATTTGTGATTAAAAAAAAATTTTTAATTAAAAATTATTTTTTATTATTTTTATTTATTATTTTTATTATTACGTATGTAATTTTTTCAATAAATTTGAAAATTTTTGTGGCCTTTAGATTCCAAATGTTAAAATATAGACTTGTTAAAAAAATTTTCTATTTACAAAAAATAAAAACACCACGTTAATGTATTTGTGTAATATGACTTCATAATATAATTATTTAATACTTTTACATCTAAGGACCAAAAGTCATAAATTCTTCTGAATTTTAAATTTCTAAAAAAGTTGCTGGAAATTATGAGCAGAATTAAAAAATTTTTAATTACATTTTAGTGCTAAAAACAAAACTTTCGCACAATTGATAAAAAAAATTAATTTAGAAAAAAAATGTTACAAAAAATTGTTGATTTACAGGAAAACAGAAATTGTAATTTTAAAAATAACGGATTTTTTAAATTTAGAAAAAAAGTGTTGTTAAAGAAACGTTAAATGTTTGTTTAAAAAAAAATATTAACAAAAACGATTAAAATAATTTATTAGTTAAAAAAATTATCAATATTAAAAAACATAAAATATTTTTTCAAAAGCAAGTCTAACAGAAAAATAAAATTTCAAAAATTATTCAAAACTTCGATTAATTTAGAACTCAATTTTAAATTTTGAAATTGGGAATAGTTGAATTTTTATTTGATTGGAATTAAGAATAATTCAATTTAGAATAATTGATAAAACTTTGGAATATTTGAACTTTTATTTGTTTGAAATCTGTAACAATTGAATTTATTATTTATTAAAATTTGGAATAATTAAATTCATAATTGATTGCAATGTGAAATAATTGAATTTAAATTGTTTAAATTTTAGATAGTTGAATTATTATTTAATTAAAATCAGTGAATTTAGTTTTTAATTTTAATAAATTTGAAACAATTGAATTTATAATTGATTGTAATGTGGAATAATTGATTTTATAATTAAATAAAATTTGGAATAATTAAACTTTTATTTGTTTGGAATATGTAACAATTAAAATGATAATTGATTGAAATAGGAAATAATTGAATCATTAACTGATTAGTATTTTGAAGAATTGAATTCAAAGTTGATGAGAATTTTTAATAATTGATTTTTTAATTGACTTAAATTTGAATTCTTAAGTTTCCAAATGATTGGATTTTCAATTAACTGAATTTAAAATTGATTAAAATTTATAATAATTAAATTTTTAAATAATTTTTTGGAGTGATTGTAATAATTGATATTTAATAGTTTTAATAGACTGAAGCTCAGAATTAACAAATATAAAAAAGAAAGATAAAAAATTTTCAAAATATTGGTGAAATAAGAGACAATTTAACGAAATAGGTGACAAAATTCAAAAAAGGTGAAAATTTCTGATTCTGCATAAACGTTTCAGGTTAAAACCGAACATTCTTTCCCCTTGTAAAATTTTTAAAAAATGAAAGAATATTTTAACAGATTTTTATAACTTATTTACAATCTTTAGTTTGAAAGTTAACTTTTAAACAAAAAAATCAGATTTTATTAATATTAAATTAGATTTTATAAATTATAGAATCAATAAATAATAAGAACTTTGACCTCTTTTAAATTCCAAGTATATGCAAAATTTTTTAAGAAAGAAAGTTATAAAACGAAAAAGACTGCAAAATTATTTTAATTTTTGAGAAATGTTTTTACATTTGCTAACATCAAAAGTAATTTGTTTTTATTAAATAGAAAAAATAATTTCTTACGCATTTTCTCACATTGTTTATTGTTTGCAATGGAGTTCGATTTAAAAATCAAATGTCCCATTGATATTTTAAAACGTTTCAAATGATGTTAATTTTAATTTTGTCAAGCCAGTTTCCTAGTTTTATTCTTTTTCGCTATTTAAAAATTATAGAAAAATAATTACTTATCAAAAAATTTGAATTACTATTTTTATTATTACAAAAAAAATAAATAAAATTACTGAGAAAATAAAAAAATCCTGATTTTAGGGGAAAGGCGAAATTTTTAATTAAGGGAAAAAAGGGAAAAGGGAACGAACTGTGATCCTTATTTTAGTTTTAAAACACGTTTTCTTTAAAAATTTTTTTTTATAAATGGTCAAAAAATGACAAATTGTCAAAATAGGTACAATAGGTACCAAATTTTAGTTACCAAATAGATAAAATAGTTAGTTATTAATAGTTACCAAATAGTTAAAAAAGTAAAGTCATTAATACTGTATTACCACTGTCAATATCATCAAACAACCAGCTATAGAAAATTTTCGTTACATTGACTATATTAATAAATAAAACAAAAAATGCTCAATTTTAAATATGATACGTATGTGTAGGTACAGTATAATTCGGGACATTTTTAGCCTTTCAGGACACCAGTCCAGACTTTCAACAGGAGTGGTAATATTATAATACTTTTTGCCGTTAACGATTTAAAATCGATCAATATTATAGAGTAATATAAAGTACTACAATTCAAATAAAATTTTTTGTCCACATACAACCCCTGAGTTTTATGTACATTTACATCTATTAAAATTAGCAATTTAATGTAGCAAATAATTAAAAATTTTCACACTTTTCCAAGTCAATTGATATAAGCCAACATAACCCTAACATTTCATAAATACATTTACTATTATTCAAATAAACATTTAATTTATAAATATGAATTATACATACTTACAATATTATTGTTCCTCTTGATATATTTTAGTATCACAGACAATATTTCCTACAAATATACGTATTTCACTTGCTAACAGTTAATTTTCTACTCAACCGAAAAAGTGTAATCGACAGTTTGTCACAAACACAAGCATTCAAAACGCTTCAAGACGCCATGATCCAACTACAAGGAGGTTCTACAGGAGCTTCTACAATAGGTGCAAAAGCCAAGTACAAGTGCAAGTCCAAATGCAAATTCCATAAATGCAAGAGAGATAGATAGACAGCCTATCTCTCTTGCACTCATGGTTTTCTCGAATTTGCACTTGCCTTTTGCACCTATTGTAGAACCTCCTACACAGGTCTCGCTAGTCATACGCAGCCAAAAAAAAGTCATCCAATCAAATCCGTACTCGAAGTACGTCCATATTGAACAATTTAACCGCGCGCTTTCAAATCACATGATAAAACATATTTAAAGAAAAGTTGCACATAATAATTTTTAAAATAATTATTAAAAAATAAATAGATTTTTAATTTTTTATTATTATTATTAGTAATTAATTAAGTAATTATTATTATTTTTTAATTTTAGATAAAATTAAATTGAATAATTAAAATAAGAAAAATATTAAAGTAATAAAAAATTAAATTTTTTTTTAATTTTTCATAGTAGAGGATGGTTTAAATTTTCCAAAAAATGTCAGAAAAGTAAATTGTAATTGTTTTAAATTTCACTGGTAATTATTGTAAAATTTTTAATTGGTTAAAAATAATATTTTTGTGTTATTTTTTTAAACATTTTACAATGTTTTAACTTCAAATTAAACATATTTGTTCAGAAATATTATTTTTAAAGTTTAAATAATTTGCCGCCAATAAACTATACCCAATGAGCTCACTCATAGTTAAGCCAGCTGATTTATTCAATATGGCAGCAACTGGAGTATGCGCCAGTTTGGGAATATTTGGAACCGACTTCGGCGAGACCTCTACGTTGTTGGATCATGCCAGACGCTTTTCATGCATGCTTCTCATGCATGTTGATACAAATTGTATGTGTTGGAGAAGAAATGCTGAAGGTGGTTCCAGAATAGGTGCAAAAGTCAAGTACAAGTGCAAGTACAAATGCAAATCCCATGAGTGCGAAAGAAATAGGTAATCTATCTATCTCTCTTGCACTCATGGGATTTGCATTTGGACTTGTAGTTGCACTTGCTTTTTGCATCTACTCTGGAACCGCCTTATGGAGGTTCTACAATAGGTGCAAAAGCCAAGTACCCAGTAAAAAAAAAAGAATTAGGAGTAAGCGAAAAGAATTGGTGGTAACTTAAGCTCAATGCGGTTTGGCGAAAAAACCGAATTGGAACGTTACGGTGAATTATTTTTTCTTACCGTCAATTCTTTTCTCTTAAACATTTGAATTGACGTTTGTTTATTCGAGTTTGCATTATAAATGAATAAGAATAAATGTTTCGAAGTCTAAAAAGCCGATTTGGAATAAGAAATATATAATTTAAAAAAAATAAATGAAAGCGAAGTGTGACAGATTCACCGACGATTTTATCAAGTGAGTAGTGTTCATATGATAAATTTACCATATGATTAGTACTCACATGGTAAAATTGTCGGTAAATCTATCACATTTCACTTTTATTGCTTTTTAAAAATTATATATTTCTTATTCCAAATCGGCTTTTTAGACTTCGAAACATTTATTCTTATTCATTTATAATGCAAACTCGAATAAACAAACGTCAATTCAAATGTTTAAGAGAAAAGAATTGACGGTAAGAAAAAATAATTCACCGTAACGTTCCAATTCGGTTTTTTCGCCAAACCGCATTGAGCTTAAGTTACCACCAATTCTTTTCGCTTACTCCTAATTCTTTTTTTTTTACTGGGTACAAGTGTAAGTCTAAATGCAAATCCCACGAGTGCAAGAGAGACAGATAGACTACCTATCTCCTTCGCACTCATGAGATTGCCACTTGGACTGGAACTTGTACTTGGCCTTTGAGGAGGTTCTACAATAGGTGCAAAAGGCAAGTGCAAATTCGAGAAAACCATGAGTACAAGAGAGATAGCTATACAATCTATCTCTTTTGCACTCATGGTTTTTTTGGACTTGAACTTGCCTTTTGCATCTATTGTAGAACCTCCTTTGAACCTATTCTGGAACCGCCTTTAACACACGAATGACAAGTGGAATGAACATGAAAAATTGGAACGTAAAATTGTGAAAATTTTTAACAGAGAGATTTCCTATATATATTCTATGATTTGTTAAGTAACAAAAAATAAAATATGCGTTGGAATTACACTAATATAAGTTGAAAACTTTGATTTCTAAACATTTATAAACATTTCTTAATTGATGTACAAAAGGGACGCTTGGGCACCCGTCAAAAAAATTTCATCTACGGACCTGAAAGCACTACGCTTCTTTCAACTGCGCATTGACAAGAAGGTACTTTTTTACAACTTTGCCCTTAATTATAATAAACTACGCTGCACGCAAATTATGTTTTTATGAAACATGAGAATTTCGTTTTTTTTCTATTTACAATTTTTTTTTATACATTTGAGACAATAAGTGACATCACAAACACAATAAAATTTGAAATTTAAATCTATTTTGAGTTTGCGCACAACTCTAGTCACGTGGTTTTATAAGAATTCTTGAATGACAAACCCAACCTTACGGTCACTCGCGGCAACCGGGAATCGGAATAACAGTGTAAAACGTGGTGCCGGGTTTTATGTTATTCAAATGGATAATTTAATAAATTTGGCGTGGGTACAATTCTCAAACGGGACAGACAAAGTGGTTCCGATAGGAAATATACAAAATTTTGTTCCTAAGAACAAATCGGATTTCAATAGTGGTAGGAAATACAAAGTGTGGTGTTTGGGGACCAAAGGGAAAGAAGATAATTTGCTAAACGGATTCATCCTTTTATTAGGCTGTAAGTACAATGGATTAAATATTAATATTTTCATGTTTAATATGTTAAATACTTAATTGATGAAAACAAAATGATTTTGTAGTATTTATTATAGTAGTAATTTTAAATTTTACCTATATATATATGGCCACGTGCTCAGGGAATATATATATATATATATCTTGATAATTATTGTCATACAAATATTTTAAAGCTAGATATTACGCAATTTTGAACAAAAAATCAAATTTCAAAAAAAGGTACCGTTGGATGATTTTAATTTTTGCTGGAAATATCTTATTTTTTGTTCTAGAATACATTCCTAAAAAAATCATGGTTGTTTTGACTTTTCATAATAATAAATTGATAAAAACTCACCGTGACCTAAAAACAGTAGTGTTCTTTAGTTTATACACTGAGATTTTTTCAAGTTTTGCTATTTTAAAATTAAATATAAATATTTTTTCTCTGTGTTATGAAATATTAACGATTTAAAAGAAAAACGTATTTTTTATTCACCACTTTTTTCCAATTTCCGTTTGAAAAAAATGTATACAATTTGTTTTTATTAACAATTTCAACAAACAATGTTCGACCAAAAATATAATTGTTCGATTGAATAAAAATTTATTTCATTAAATCGTTGATAATAAGCGTTGTGTTCTTGAAATTAGTTAATTTAAGAAGATATTAAACTAAAAAATTTGTAAAATTAAATTACAAAAATTTTTTTAACGTACCCTCATGCCAAATTTTTAAATTTTAGTAAAATATTTTTTAATTGTATAAACACGTGATAATATGCAAAGAAAAAATGTTTTATTGCGTTTTAAGTAAAACAAAGGCCGTATGAATATTCATGGAAAAAGTGCCTCTGAATGAATTAGGTTCATACTTGGGAAATAATTTTGTACTATTATAAAACTTATTTACAGTAATTTTTATAACTCGAAAGTAATTTTGCATGTAAGTTACCAAAAATTCGTTTTTTTAAAACATATATAATATAGCCTTTTAATCATCTCAGAAAAATATATCTCATTTTTGAGGTGATTAATATTTTATCGAAAAACTACGGAGGTGGTGCAAAAAAAATTGAACCAAAAAAATTGTTTTTAAAGTAAAAACAAATTTTTACTGCCTTCTATTGTAAAAATTTGGTCGACAAGTTTTATAATACAGAAAAATTATCCCCCCCAAATATTAACCTAATTTATGCGGAATCACTTTTTTCATGGTTATATGGCCCTTTTTATTGCTTTACATTTATAAACTAATATTTCTAAAAACAAAACATAAATTTAATAATTATTTATGTTAAAAATGTTCTTTAGCGGATAACGATGATATTGACCATCAGAAAAGTCAAAAGCGGGTTAAATTTCCGAATAAAAGAAGAATGAGTTTAAACAATTCCATGGTAAAAACTACGGAAACGAAAAAGGCTAAAAAGGAGTCTAAAGTAAGTTAAACGACAGTGAATATTGATAATTTACTATTTATTTTAATAGTAGTTTGTGATATGATAGTAATTTTTATAAAAAATTTAATCAATAAAAAATAGTTTGAGTTTGAATTCTAAAAATTATTTGTTTGTAATATTTTTAGCATTTTTTTTTCTAAAATGAAGAATAAATTTTTGTTTTAACTATATTTAGTTGTAAATACTGATATAAGAACGATTTAAAAATTAGACTAGAATAATATTATTTACTGTAAAACTTAGTATCATTAAAAAGAAAAGTTATTCAACGTATAAGATGTTTATTTTGGATAGAAGTAACGGTAATGATTTTCAAAGGGTTACAGGAGATTTTGAATCTCTTGAAAGTTTTGAATGTTGAAATATACGAATTTTTTCGCAATTTATATGTTTTCACAAAATTCTTGTATTCTAAAGAAGTAGAAAATAAATTTAATATTTATTAATTAAATAATTTATTAAAAAAAGGAAACATAATATCTTGTTATAAAATTGGAACATATGAATGTAGCAAAAAATTCGTTCATTCGAACGTTCAAAACTGTAGAGTTGTTGATCTTCTTGTTGTCTGAAACAAACATTTGATTATACCAAGAAAAGTATTTGTTATAATCCATTTGTGTTTCCATTTTATATTTGCTTACAACAACTAATTAAATTAGTTGACTAAACTCAATTTTTCTTGCAATAAGTAAACGATTTTTTAATTTTTTTAGTGGCTACCTTGTAGTTTTTGTATAGAATTAAAATATTTTGAAGGAAATTTTTTGTTTTAAAAAGTAGGGTAAATACACTAGTTGCGGCGCGGTTATATGTAGTTGAGACGCCTTTGACATAAAATTTAACATTTCCGTTGAAAAAAGTACATTTGTGCCTTAAGCTATAAAAAGCATTCAGTATAAAATAATTATTTTATTAGATTATTAGTCCAGGGACAATTTTCTAGTCTGAAGGAAAAAAATACCACTCAATTTATAGTGTTAAGATCCCTAAATAACACAGTAACATTTTCACCATTTCTACTCGCCGGAATTTACTGTTAAAATTCTTTTAAGGTGTAAAAATCTATTTTTTAAAATTTTTTGATGACTATTGCTAAGAAAAAAAGTTATTGTTAAAAGTTGTAGAGCTTAAAAAGCATGATAAACTGAAACGTTGCACGATATTTTTCAATTATTAGTTTATCAATTAATGAATTAAATCGATTAAAAAAAATCGATGTCAAACTTGATAAAAGCGTCGCTTTTGGGATCCTTAAAAAGTGTGTAAATCTTGGACTTTATTGATTAAATAGTTCTGTCAGATTCAGAGATCTTTTAAAAAAATCATATTAAGAAGTTCTTTTACTCCGAAGGATCTAAATTATCGGTAACATGTACCGCAGAAAAAAAATTAATGCTTGAAAATGATTGTTAAAAAAGGCCATTTTTTTACTATATACGAATGGGCACAGCCCGTATACATCTAAATAAATAAATAAACAATTAAGTATATCTCGGTGAATTTTCAATTTAAGACATTTGTATAAAATCTTTTCGATTCTGTCTATTTTTTTTCTAATTTAAAAAAATCGCCGATCTAGCTCAAAGAGGGGAGGGAGAGTTTGTTTTTTTTTAAACAAATTCTGACAGTTTGTTTATTCATATTTTAAAATTTTTTCTACACAAATTGAATCGTCAGTTTCGAAAAGGGCTCAACTCGGATTTTTTTCAAATTTCACTTTTTTACAGTTTTAAAATTATTACACCGATGTTTTCACAAAAGGAAAACTTCATCCGAGGTTTTTTAGAAGATAAAAATATAAAAAAATGTTTCCAATTTTGAAATGAGTTTTGAAAAGGGCTTAACTCTGCAAAATTTCTTTTGTTTTGATTAACTTTTAACCTATAAAATTATTAATATAAAAGTTTATAATTAAATGTATTTTTATATAATAAGTTGAAACAGCTCAGAAAATGAAGAAGAAAAAAATGAAAAAAATATGTACAAAATAAAATAAAAATTATGAACATTTTATTATTGAAAAAGTTAAAATAAATGTGTTAAATCATGACAACCGCATGTAAAAAAATATTTTCCTCAAAAAGAAAAGTTGACTCCAATTATACAAAAGTATTTTTTAATTAATTTAAAAATGATAATATTCATATATTTTCTTTTATTTATATTTAAATAATATACAAATAAAAATTGTTTTTCCATAGTAAAACGATTTATTAAAGCCGTTTTATCATTAAAACGATTAAATTTGTTCCATAAATTTCTAAAAGGGCTCAACTCTGAGAATTTAATTATTTACTTTCTCAAAACCACTCTCATTTAAAACAATTATTTTTACATTTTTTTATGTAACATAATAGTTAGTAGCTACAGACAAAAGCTCACCTTTTTTAATTAAATCTGCTTTTAAAAAATCATTTTTTGTGTCTCCTGTAAAATTGCAAAAAAACCGAGTTGAGCCCTTTTTGAAACTGACGATTCAATTAGAAGAACATATTTGTAGTTTAATAGAAAAAGTCGTCAAATTTATTAACACATTTTTTGGTTTAAAAAGAAGGTGCAAGTTGGGGTAAGAAATTATCTCGCTCGAGCGGGAGGCGTGGGGGAACTCAGTGGCTTATGCAGTCGCTCGCGCCAGAATTGAATTCAAGCATTCAAATTCAAAAAAGTTGTTTCAACTTTAAAAAAGAATGGACCAATTTCGGTCTTTCTTTTTTTTACACTAGGGTTTTATTTCAATTATTAATTTGTTGTTAAATAAACTATTAAAAAATATCATAAATTAGGTTTAAAAATTAATTTGATGAAAAATAATAACATATTTAAAAAAAAACGATTCCTAGAGGGTAAACTTTTTAAAATAAAATTGAGGTAAATTTTAAATAAAAAACTCATTAATAGCTCTTATTTATAAATTTTTACACCATTTTTAGGCATCAATTTATCAATGACTCCTATTTTAAGGAATATATCTTTAATGTTGATTCACATAGGCTAGCAGATAAACAATGATTAAACTCTAAAAATTTCTGATCTTTTTATATTTTCCTTAAAAAAGTGTTAAACTAATATTTATATTTATGCACATTAGGTAAAAATGAACAAAAAACCGTTAAAAACTGAGGCACAAAAAACAGCAAGTGAAGAAATTTTACGGTATCATGAGAATTTAAAAAATACACTGGAGTCTCCCAAGAGAGGACTTCTGAAGAGAGGACTAAGTAGTGACGCGGCGCGGTAAGGAGTGAGGGGGGAAGAGATGGGCGGGATCAGAAAGAGGAACGTGAACTCAGGAGCGTTTGTTTTTAGTGTACCTTTCTCGCGTAGTGTTTTACAAACGTAACAGAATGTATTCTGTTAAAAAAACACATCTCTGTGATACGATATACGGCCCTGGAGTGTTTACAATTTTCGGCGTCAAGGACGAATTCCGTAGAGAGGTCCAAGACTCTTTCTGTCCTCTCTTCGGAGACTCTAGTGTAATAGAGCCAGAATTGAGAGTGAGTCTGATAGCGAAATTTCACAAGAAGTGGAAGAAAACGGTAAGTACATTTTCTTAATAATAATTAAATAATCTATATTAAGAAAATAAGACTTTTTTGAACAACAACCCAGTGGGCACGGGGACATAAGTTGTTTTTAGGATGTTTCTTTTTGAAAAGAAATTCAAAATGTTACTCTTTTTTAAGAAATCCAAAATATTTTTAACTGTTTCCCAAAGTCAGTATTTATTACAAAACGTTTTTTCTTAACAAATTTTAAAATATATACTTTTAGCGAAAAAATGTTATATGTGTCTTTTTTTGTTTTCGAGATATAAATAAATTAAGTAATAAAAATTAGTAAAACAAGATGGAGTTCCTTCTTTATAAAATAAGTAAATTGCTTCCTTATCAAGGAAGATTTGTGTTCATTTCATGAACACTTTGCTTACTGCTTTCTCGGTGGCATTTTTTATATGTTATCAATTTAATATAAATTATTGACATGAGGTAAATTCATTAAATTTTTCATTTTTATTATATTTTTTAAACAAAACATTCGCAAGTAATTCAGTTGATGCCTAAAGTACTTTCCAAATTCAAGATGATAATTTTATGGTTAAATAAAGATCTTTTTTAAACATCATATTAAAAATTCAAGTTTTTCAAAATTTTGAAATTTAAAAAGTCAATAACTCTAGATATATAGAATGAACGTAGAATATTTGCCAACAGCTCAAATGATGCGCATTAAAAAATTTTATAAAATAAAAGAAAAACATTTATAGGCGTGTTAATTCATTTTTTCCAAGTTATGGGAGAAAAATCATTTATTGAAAATTTCCAAATGGAAAAAAATTATTTAATCATCATTTTGGGTCAAACTACTCTCATTGTCTGTCCGCCAGTGAGACATACAATTTTGAAAAAATAGCCCTGTTGCTCATAATGTATTCGTGAAAATTATGAAAATGTGATGTTTGCACACACACACGCGCACGCGCGGAATGACATTTTATAAAAATGTGATTTTTGGACGGCTATGCAAAGTTGAAAAATATAAAAATACATGAAAAAAAACGGAAACCTAAACCTTTTCGAAAGCAATACTTTTTCTGAAACTCTGAAATCATCAGCTTGAAGCTTATCAAATTTTGCACTCAACGAGTTCAAGATAAATCATTTTGGATTTGTAGATTTTAATTAAATAAATTGCACTCAACGAGTTCAAAATAAATCATTTTGGATTTGTAGATTTTAATTAAATAAATAATAATTATTAAAAAATAATTATTCATATATATATTTAAAATCTAGCAATCCATCAGAATGCTCGTTGGATAAGGAATATAATAAGATTTAAGCTGATAATTTCAAAATTACCTTTACTTTATTGGTTTGTCAAAAATTTTATTTTTTAATAATTTTTATAAATTAATTTATTTAAGTCCCGAAAACAGAAAAAGGACATTATTATAAAATTTTTCGCTAAAAGTA